GCCCCTCTCCCGGCCATTCCCGGCGTGCAGACACACCTCCGGCTCGGGCCCTGGAGTCTCTGCCCCGCCCTTTTTTGCGCCCCTGGAACTGGAAAAAAAGGGTTTCCCCAAAGCAGTGTGGAATGACGCCCCAGCCCTGCCCCCGACTCCGGGAGACCCGGGACTGACCTCGGATCGGCGGGTGCATGGAGAAGGCAGAAACGCTCTCGGGCGCACGTGCTCGGCGCCTGCGCTCGCGCCCTGACGCACTGGACCTGACCACGCGGCGACTAGAACCTGTTGCGACCTCAGGCTCTGGGGACGCGGGAGAGCTGGGGAGGAAGGAAGGTGAGGTAGGGAGGGAGACCAAGGAGACAGTTAACCCGGAGGAGTCCGGGATTTTCATGGCATTGCCTCCCGGTACAGCCCTCAGATTCTCCAAAACGCAGGGGGCAGAGCACGAGCACTGGCGTCTCCACGTTCGCCCCAGGTCATACCACAGACACATGTCCTCTCCAGCAATCTTGGGGCCTCAAAATCAGACCACTCTGGGAAGGGGGGGTCTAGTTGGGAAGCCGTGGGCGGGGAGTACGTGACGCGAGCCCCACTCTCTGTGGAGTTCTCCCGCCACCGTCTCGTGGGCCCAGAGCGCACGTCGCGGCTAGGGACTAGGAGAGCGGCTCTCCTCAGTGCGCGCCGGGCGTAGGGTGGGGCCCTGCGTTCCTGGGCGCGGACAGCTCCACCAGATGCCCTCCGACCGAAGCGGGACTTCTCCAAAGGGAACGCGAAGTCAAAGTCGGAGGAGAGAGCTTGAGGCCCCGGGGATGGCACCAGTCATGCTCAGGAAACATGCTAAGAGGAAAAGACTTCAAATGGCAGCCTTGCCATCCTAAATGCTTATAAATGTATATTGAATTTTTAGTTTCTAGTAAAACTGGAAAGTAAAAATGAAAAGCGGATTTTCACGTGTTTATCTTGATTATTGAAAACGAATTACTGAAAATTGCTGACCCTGCTTGGAATTCATATCTACCTTTGCCAGTAAAGTCAGCCAATCAACTGAATCCAGTAAATGCGGGGATGAGAAAAATGACCGCTCAGTTTTGAGTTCTATCACGGATCTAAGCAGAATATTTTCCAAAGACTATTGAAGCCCGGTGCGCTTTCTCTAATCTGGTTGAGACCTATGGGGAGTAGGGGATGACTGGGCGTTGGTGGGGACCCCCACTCAATCCCTTGTCTCTGAGACTCCAAATCCAAGTCCCGGCCTCTGGGATTCTCGAGAAGTTTGGATAGTTGAGAAGCTCGGGGACGCACACCTGAGGCAAGAGTTCCTGTTTCCGGGTAGTGGAAACAGAAGAGAAGGGAAAAATCAACCGCCTTAAAACTATTTTAAAGAGGAGGAGGTCTAAAAGATATTCATTCCCAAACCTCTATTCAACCGTCAAAATAATACTGAAAAAAAGAATTTTTTAATCCACGGGACTGTCCCCTCTCACCCCACCAACCCCCCGCGCCTTGAATGACTCTGTCTCCAGTTTTCGGTGGCTTCGGGCGCACACGGCCTCGAAGCAGTTGTTTCTCCTACCAAGAGAGGCAAAGCCGGGTACTGGAGACCTGGACCCTTACTTCCCGCAGCCACCTCGGCGCTGCCGCGCGGCGGATATAAAAAGAAACGGAGGAGTGTGAGGAGCGAAGCCGGGAACTGTTAGGTGGTGGCGAGAAGTTGCGCAACGCGAACAACGCTTGAGAGAAGTGCCCTGGTGTTGCCTCCCTATATAGGGCCTGGCGGGAAACTCTTATCAAAATATTAAAAAACTTCTCCCTAGCAGACCTGTTTGTACCTTGGAAGTGCTTCTTCACTGCCGACACCTAGTTTTAAAATATAATTAGATAACATCTATGTCGACGCACTGACAACCACAAAGCCAAGAGATTCTCAAGGCAAAGTGAAATTGAACCTTCAGGTGATATGCTTAAGTTGGCAGAAAAGTCCCATATCTGGTATCTCTTTGTCGGGCTTTTTTATACACTGGGAAACATTGGCCCCTAAGACTTATGAACAGTAATTTTAGGGGAGCACCCAAACTCTCTAGGGATGGAGTCGGGCACCAGAAAGAATTACACATGACAAGGTCGTTGGGTGCAGCTGTCACTGCAGGGTGCTATCAGCTCTCTGGGCCACGCGTATCTCTTTAGTTAGAATCAAGACCAAAAATTGAAACTCTCTTTCTCTCTGAAAGTAGAGGATCCGCGCAAGGGTCACAATGGCAACCAGAGAGGCTTCGGCGATCGCCTGGACCTCCAGAAGCGAAACGCAGCAAGGAGTAGGTGGTAGTGCTGCTCACCGTGCTTTGAATAAGAGCATCTCTCCATAAAGTCAGAATATGGTAGGCACCCACTCAACTTAGTCTAAACACCGCGAGAACTTAAAATTAGACCTTTTCTCAGAGCTGAGAAGTACATGGTCATGACTTCGGAACAAAGTTTATGTATTTCCCGCAGCTGGAACCATACACAACTAAAATTCCTAAAAGGACGTGGCAAGAGGGGGGAGGGAGCAGATGAAGCCCCTATTATAAAGTTTTAATCTCTTTCCAAGGAAGTTCCATGTAACTCTGGCTTTCGCGTGTCTCGCTTTTCCTGAGCTTTACTCCTAGAAAGACAAAGACAAGAAACGTCCTCAGCTGCGCTGATCTCGGAAGACGTGGCGAAGACGTGTCGAGGCTTTTTCCTTCGCACAACTCTATGCAGTCGGGTTGGAGAGCGACTCTCTGATAAGCAAGAGAAGCAATAGCCACTTTGCAACTTAGGAATCACAACTGAATGTGTACGCCGATCCGGCATAGCCTGCACCTGCACACAGGCGTCATCCCTCCCTCCTTTCACCCCAGATTCTCGGGGAGGTGGACTACCTGACGCCCCATTGACCTCGGGTGATGCTCAGCCGCTTCCTTAAGGAAAGACCGGCAACAGAGTTCGTTTCTGGTTCAACTCTCTCGGGGATTCTGAGTCGGAATGCGATTGTCTCCAGCTGCAGACACCTGGGAGATGAGCTCTAGGACTCTACAGACTCTCAGCATTTCTAAGGAGCTTTCTCTTTCCCTCTGCTTATTAATTTGTGGCTTTCGTTGGGTAGAAGAGGTGAAAATGAAAGAAAATGGCTAGCCCCATCTTTTCAAGAAAGCCAGGAAATTGGACATTTGGCTTATTATTTAATCTCTTAGGTGGCCATCCCCCCTTGTCCCTCAGAGTGACCCGCAGAGAAACACATAGCATAAAAATAACATTAAGTTAACCACAGAGGTGAGCCTTCTCTCTTTTTCCCCCCATCCCCAAAATATGTCTTTAGGAAAAAAGGTAAAGGAAAAATAAGAACCCTAGAGCTCTAGTGGCAATTTACTGTTCTAACTCTGCATTTTAAAAACAATAAAGCTTTCTGTAAATTTCAGTGACCAGGAGGTCATCTGTAATTCACCAGGTCAGTTGTGAAGCTGGTCCCCATCTCCATGAATTCACAACTGACCTAAGGCGAAACTCCCTGGACTTCACCAGTCCTAAGACCAGGAGAGCTGAGCGCTGGCGCTGACCATAAGCGGCTTCTACAACGTCAGTTTCCTTTCTTTGCTGGAAGTTGCTGCTGAATGAAATCTTAGATGCCAGTCGTAACTTTCTTAAACCACACTGAACACCTGACAGTGGGTATTGTTTTATCTGAGAAACTTTTAAGGTGGAAATACTAAAACTGCAAATTGCACTTTACACTATCCACTGAAGGTGGAAAACAGTAAGTTGTAAGAAAAAAAAAAAATCCACTGAGTCTTGATTTCGGCTCTATGCCAAAGACCACTGATCCAAGGCCTAAAGGGCCTCATATGCCTGCCTCTTTGTCCAAGACCCTTCCTAACAGTTATAAATGGAGGGATTGGGAAAATTCAGAGATTACATATAACAAGCCTGACTTCTCAGCAATAAAAAGATACCTCCTAGACACTGTGCAAGACAAAAACTTGACAGGTCTTCTGATTTTGTAAAAGTTCAAAAGCCTTTTGATCTCCTGAACTTCCTTCTGAAAGCTGCATTTACTAGCAAAGTTAATGAAAGAGCTGTGATATTCTCAACTGATTCTGATAAATGTAGGTCGCCAGACTGGAAAATTCTAAAGTAAAATACTATACTGAATTATCTGGATAAGTAGTTCAATTCCCCGGTTCCTTTTGCCCAAATAGATCTAGACAGTCAGTTTGAAACTCAGATGTTTAATAAGTGACCTATCACAAATTAATCTCCAATTCTATTTTATGTTGCTGTTTAGTCACCGTTTTTTTCCTGACCCAGAAAGAAGACAAAATTCTGTTCATTTACATGGTTTATTGTTGTAAACATTAAAATTGTCTTTCTCAAAGAAAGAATTTATCAGAAAAAAATTCAGCGTCTCTAACTGTCATACACCATAGAAAAAAGGCAGTGACTCATATCATGTGCCATACTGGAAATATACAAAGAAAAATACTACAGAACATGGCAATATTAAAATTCTTACTTGAACATAAAATAATATATTAAGTGACAATTTTCGACATTTAAAAAAAAACAAAAAATTCAAAGTGCTCAGTAATTTCCAGGGAGTTATGTATATTATAAGCACTCTGGAAACAGTCAAAAGCTGCTGCATGCAAGTTTTGTTTAGCTTTAGACAACAAAATAATCAAGATATAAACTTTCTTTTATCAACATCAACAATACATACAACACTTACAAACAAGGAATGTTGGACGGTGTTACAAACACTATGTGTCCCTTTTGTCAGGATTTTCTGATGTGTAATACTTGTGCCCACCTATTTTACAATTGAGAAAATGTTTAAGCTCAGATAACTACCAATCTTTATAAAATCTAACAGACTACATAGTGTCTGAAATACTATTTATATAATATAGACATTACTGAAGTAGCAAGTGCCTATAACATTTTCAACCTAGAATCAACATGCTTGTCCCTTTTTTCTGTAGTTATTTCTGTTTTTTTTTTCAAACACACTTATCCTTTAGAATTTTTAATATTTATTCATAAATAGGCACAAAATAATTTAAAAAGCCAAACTGCATTGGGTAAATTTACAAGTCTTTGCCTTCTTCAACTCATGCCACCCACGCAACATTTAGTTTTACTATATATTACAGCTTTCTTTACAGCAGAAAACTTTGAAGTCTTTTAAAGGGTGATACTTATGGGTCCCCTTAATGTGTGTGTATGTGTGTGTGTGTGTGTGTGTGTGTGTTACATTTGTATTAACTGCAACAACCAAGAATGGCCAAACATTTCCCATCATACATTAGGAATCCTTCTTCTGAACAATAAACTGATTTTTAAACTGATAATAAAAAGTTTATACCACTGTATTGTGTGTAGTCCGTGTTCTAAATCCAGGATGCCCCGGAGCCAAAATGCCCTTTCAGGTTCTGCCTGCAGGTTAGGAAATAGCAACAGTTTTTGTTTTTTTTCTTTAGGGATTCAAAGGGCTGGGGGGATTGCAGAAGGGGTGGGGGTGGCTAGAGCTGAGGCAGTTCAGGGTTCTATCTCTGCCCATGTGACTTTCCCCCTCTGGACAGTTTAGGTTTCTTTCCAGTTCAGTTGAAGTACATAGGAGGAGGTCCTAGAAAGGTAAAGTGTCCAGGAAAAGTTTGTCAATTATTGCTGGTGGTGGTACCAAGTCTTCCAGTTTCAGGTAGAAAATGCGTTGTAGCCCCTGTGTGCAAAGGGTACGGAGTTCTGGGAGCTTCCCCAAGAGTTTGGACAAATAGTTGGGGCGATTCAACCCCCCGTTATTGAAAGTCACGTGGTCTTTGAGACAATTTACAATCTTGTTCTGCAACTCTTCCACTCGCTTGGGTTCCTTAAGCCCGTGTCTCTCTGCATAAAACACAATCCGAAACAAAAGAAGAATGCACAAGGCAGTTAGCACAAGCTGGCAGAACCAGGGAGGAGTAGTGGCAAGGGAAAGCTGCGACAAATCTGATGGGCAGTTCTAGAGGAGAAGTGCCCTGTGCCTGTGATACTGACCTGTGACCATAGCCAGGGCAGCAATACAGGAGAAGGCAGAAATGTCGATGTTCATATTCTGCAAGTTGGAGGAGAATTCAACAATGGAATCAATCCATTCCCCAAAGCCACGCACGCATTGCAACCTGTGCAAGACCACCCCATTGCAAAAGATGAGTTTACCCTCCACTGGGTTGGACCTGCAATTAATACCAAAGAGAGAGGGGGGAGAAAAAGAGAGAGAGAAAAGCTAAACAACTAATTACTTGAAGAGCAATAAATGAGGGATTTAAGAGGCACCTAATTACCGAAGAGTTAATAAAATGTGGACCAGTGGACCTTGAAAGGGTTTAATTTCATAACAATCAAGAACGCCCCCTATCCCACCTCCATTCCATTCATCCAGGGCTTCTGGTTGCTCCTTCCCTTCCTTTTCCTTTTGTCTTCTATCCTTTACTTCCTTTTTCCCCTTCTTCAATCTCCTGTTTTGCCCTTTTCCATCCTTTTCCCCACTTTTCTTTCCTTCTTCTGTTTCCTTTCCTTTCTCGCTTCCTCTCTTCCTCCTCTCCCTGCCTCCCCCCAGTTGCCTCCTCCCTTATTACCTGTAAGCTAATCTCAGGACAAACAGTTCTAGGAAAGCAGATTCGAAAAGCAGGTCTTGGTCTGCTTTGGGCAGGTCTGCGAAGCCAGGGATCTTCTCAGCCCAGCCCCTGATGATCTCCATGGAGCCAGTCAGGAGATCATAGAATTGCTGGATATGCTGGGTGTCATCTCCACTCATCTGATAGTCAGGGTTCGCCTGGAACTGGAATTTCATTTTAAAAAGCACTTAATGAGGTTCTCTAAAATATATAACCCGTGAAATTGCTAACCCCGTTTCTAGTAGGGGAGCCAGGTTTTTATAACAATTAAACCTCTCTCTGACCAGTAAGGAAATTAGATGTTCCGGGGCAATTAATTCAATTAGGGATGGTGCTATGAGGTCGCTGCTTTAAATATGTAAATTACCATTTCTATACAGACTAAATACAGTGCCATCCAGCCCTGGGAAACGTTCACTCTTATCTCCACAAAACAATTGACACGTTAGTATTCATGCCAGTCCCAGAGTGGGTCCCGGGCAGAGCCACTCTTTGCAGATCTTAATAAAATCGCAGTCGCTTCTAGGTTTGCCCAACATACTTTCTCCAATTAAAGCCAGCACATTTCTCACAGCAGGAGTAAAAGAGGAATCTGACCACTTGATCCCCCATGCCACTGTCATTCCTTACTCCCTTTCTCTTTCCCTTCCCGAACCCCCAGGCAGGCCCTAAGTTTATCATCCTGGCGGGACCAGAAACGATGAGGATTAAAGCATCTCTATCGAGGACTGGGGATAAAGTAGAAGTGGAGGGATTTTGCACAGTCGCTGGCTTTTCCGCATTAGAGGCATTTGTGTGTGAGTGCCTTTGTGTGTGTGTGGTGTTGTGGGGAGCTCGCAGAGATTCCACCTCTCTGGTTGTCCTCTCTTCGTTTCTCTGCCCCGTCCTCAGGTGTACACCCGTGGCTACACCATTTATCTATCTGTCTCTAGTAGCCCTGCCCAGCCAGAGCTGTGAAGTAGGCAACCTTGCTAGCCTCCTTTACCCTCAGAGTCTGGTGTTAGTGACGAAGGGATGGGGGATACTGCCCCTCAGTCGGTTTGTCCACACCATACCCCCGCCAGCTTCTTACCCTGGAATAGTCCAGGCTGGTCATAGCCGGGTTGGAGTCGACATGGGCCCTCACGAGGGCACTGATCAGACTCACCGGGGGCGAGGGGGGAGAGGGCTCCTGGGGGCTCTTCGGTTTCGAGGGCAAACGACCTCTCCGGCCTTTTAAACTGTCGGTGCGAACCACTGCAAAGAAACAGGCCGGTGAGCGCCGCTCCCGGGAGCTGGGCCCAGCTGCCGCCTGGGCCCCTCCTCCGGGAAAGGCCGCAGCCGCGGGGCGCCCCGCCCGGCGGCGCAGGGTCCCACAGCTTGTAAAGCCTTTACTGAAGAGGAGCATGAAAAATGCGGGGTTATTTTATTTCTTCCTCTCAATGGGTCGAATAGTCAAAGGCGAGAAGGGCCTGGCGGCTTTCTCTAGGGGAGGCTGGGCGAGCAGGCAGCTGCAGGGTCATGGAGGCCAGATTGGGGGAAGGGGGCTGCCATAGATGCCCGGCTCTGGGAAGTGGGAAGTTGGGTTAAAGTGTGATCAGTCGTTTTCCAAGGGCTCAATCTGGGGGATCGGTAGCTTGCCCCCACCTACCTTCTTTGACCATCCCAACAGCCAGGCACTTCTGAAATCGGCAGTACTGACAGCGATTCCGGCGCCGCTTGTCCACTGGGCAGTTTTTATTTGCTAAACACACGTATTTTGCGTTTTTCTGCACCGTGCGCTGCAAAACGAGATAATATAGGCCGAAAATTAATTTTTTCCTCTCTTGAAAATCCAGCAACTCAGCGAATCCACACAATTTCTGAACGGCTAGGGTCTACGCTTTCTCCCCACAAATACACTCCTTTTTTATTTTTTATTTTTCCTCTTCTCTCTCTCTTTTTCATTTTTCCTCCTCCAGGACATTTAACAGAAGCGTTAACATTTGAGCTAATCTTGCCGCTCCTTGCTGTGTTTTATATGCCAAGGGAAGGAGACGGAGAAGGAGACGCTCAGTAAATACAAATCCGTGGGCATTCATATTATTTACGTTCCTTGGAGACCTTTTCTATTTAAAATGATAAGATTATTCAATCAGGATGGCGAAATAAAGAGATCACTTAATTTGACCATAGGGAATTCTGTTCCACTTGGTTAGCTCAGACACGGTTCTCTGTCCTAACCAATTTCAATCTGAACAGGGAAGACAGCTCCTAGCACATGCAAATAACCCTCTTCCTACTCTGACTCCTGCAACTTCGGGCGAGGGGCCGCGGGGTCAGCTGTGTGGGGGGGATTCGACCTCCGGGCTCTCAGTCTTCCTTCTTATTGTCCTCAGACACCCAGAAGCCCCCGGTGCATGCTGGGCAGCGCCGGAGCACCCCGGGAAGTTGGGTGGTCCGGGGCTGAGCTGTCGGCACCGAGGCGGAGCGCGCCCTCAGGGGTGTCGGGCAATAGGGAGACCCGCCTGCCTCCTCCACCCTCGCCATGCTCACCTTAAAAAAGCCTTTGCAGCCCTCACAGGTGCGCACGCCATAGTGCTGGCAGGCCGCGTTGTCGCCGCACACGGCGCACAGCCCCTCGTTGGAAGGGGAGCCCCGCGACGGCGGCGAGGGCACCTGCGTGTCGAGCAGCTGCGACGCGTGGCCGATCTGCAAGCCCGGGAAGCCCATGGACGCAGGCTTGCGGATAGGATTGGGCACAGCGAAGGTCTGCCCGTCCACCACGTGGTGACTGCCCGCCGGCTCTGGGTTCATGGGGACGTGCAGGGGCCCGTCGAAGCGCATCTGGCAGCTGGACACGGGGGTACCCGGGGGTGACTGCTTAAAGGAGAAGAGGGAAAGGCGGGAGACCGGCGTTTTCCTCTGCTCGATCATGTGCGTGGTGGCCACGTAGTTCTGGTGGAAGTTGTGGAGGGACCCCGGGTCGTCCCACATGGGGCTGTGCTGCACCTGGAAGCCCGGGGTGGTGGGCGTCGGGGGCGAAGAGGGCTTGTAGTAAACCGACCCGGAGTGCGGCATCATCTCCTCGGACTGGGGGGGCAGGTGGCTGTGTTGCTGGTAGTTGTGCATCTGAATGTCTTCTACCTTAATGGAGGACTGCTGTCCGGACAGGGGCATTTGGTACAAGCAAGGTGGCTTGACGTCGTAGCCTGTGCTGTAGTTGTCCATAAAGGTACTGAAGCTGGGGAGAGAAGTGGTGGCAGTGATTTCAGTGTTGGTGAGGTCCATGCTAAACTTGACAAACTCTGGAGTTAAGAAATCGGAGCTGTATTCTCCCGAAGAGTGGTAACTGTAGCTCTGAGAAGCGGGGCTGGCTCCTTGAGGCGAGGACCCATACTGCGCCTGAACACAAGGCATGGCTGGAAATGAAACAGGGTAATATACACTCAGCCTGGTCAACTGAACACTTTCTCCCCGGCTCGGGAGCACCTGGAGCTACACCGGCAGCCCGCGGCGGTCAGACAACGAGCAGAGGCGCGAAAGGAAAGGCGGGAGAGTGCGAGTGCCGCAGCCAAAACAGTGCAGGGCGTGGAAGGGCTGGTCACATAAAGACCCAGAGCTAGAAAGCTATTGAGGTCCGCACTCCCAGAGAGTTCCAAACACCTCCCCACACCCGCCTTCATAGACACCCCCGTTCTGATCAGCCTCTCTGAAGCTCGGGTTCCGAAATCTCGTTCTAGAAAAAATCCCTCTGAAGTTGAATTGCACAATAAGAAAGTGGCTTCCAAAGGTGATGGGTCCGGAAAGCCTTAAGTTACAGGGTTTGCCCAGGGAAATGGCGTTGCCTGGTCTCTTGATGTTAGGGAACTCTGGGAAGGGAGTGAAAGAAATGAAGTTGCACTAACCTTCAGCCGAGTTACAGGCGTTTTTGAGGAAATTAAACGTGGACAGTGTCGTAATTCAATGAAGGACAAAGTTTCCCAGATTTTTAGAAAAGCAGTGGGGAGTCCAGCCTGTCAGATCTGCTCCCTGAAATACAGACACAGGAAGCGTCAGGACGACTTTCCCGGCAGAGATTCCGCAGGGCAGAAGTAGACTCAACTAAGCAGGCCCTCCAATGCCCTCCCTGTTTGTTTCATTGGAAATTAGTGTATAGCCTTTACCAAACAGTGCAGTTAAAATGAATGTGTAAGAAAGTTGTCTGGAAACAACAGAAAATGCCACCCATTGCACTGTGTAAATCCTTGCAGAGAGAGGATTCATGAAGGAGAAAATGTATTGCATGTACTTATATTTAACACTTACGGTGTAAAGAAGTGGTAGAGGACATGTTTCCATTTTAGTTTATCTCAGACCTGAATCAGAAGACTAGAGTTCAATAAAAGGAAGCACTGGAAACTTCTCTTGATTTTTTTTTTTTTCCTGCAGTAACATTGGCTTTTCTTTTGGGAGGGGGAAAAGTTAGAAGTTAAAATTATAAAATGGGGAGGGAGACCACCAACGGTTACAGAGTTTTAGAAGGCCTGGACATCCGGAAAGACCATTTGATTCCAGTAGAAGCATCTGGTTTCCTAAGTGCTTTTGACAGAGCACTAGGATTGCTCTTCAGCATTAGAGATACAAGTAAATTGGTCTTCACTTTTCCAGGAAACTTGTCTTTCAACATCTTTAATGGCCAAAGGGTGGGAAGAGGGGACCCAAATTTTCCAGGAGGATCTTAGGCCAGCTGCTGAAGGAGGGAAATACTGCTTACATGGTATTGGCATCAGTGTTGGAAGTGCTTCCCAGCATGGCAAGTTGAATACCTTTCCTACTTCCCTGTACAGCCTTCCACCATCTGCCTACTTGCTGGAACAAGGCATACTTGTATCCTAGTAATTTTCAGATGTTCTCACTTGGAAGGCTTTCTAGAGCATAGACAATCTTATTACTAATGAAAAAGAAAGCCAAATATCCACTCCTTTTTTTTTTTTTTCCATTCTCTACATCATCTTGCTTCATTGGGGGTGGGGGGTGGAGGGGTGTGCCCAGAAAAAGTAGCTGAAAGAAAGGAGACTCGACCCTCACAGTCATTCTGAGAGATGTCTGTGCAGAATATTAACCCCCTGGTAGCTTTGCAGCTTCATAACTGTACTCTTTACACATTCTCTATCTCTGTATCTCTGTCTTTCTCTCTAACACACTCACATACACATGCATGGCATACGTCAAACGCAGACATTTCAGGCAACTTAGTAATAGGACACTCTTAATCAACAATACTCGGGAAACACGGGCACGCTGGCCAGCAGCGGTGACACAGTTCCCAAGCTACACGTAAACTGAAGAACTTTGTCTCCCTGTCACTTTGTGAGCAGCGTCCAGGCCTCTCGTATACACACGACTTGGAATTTCCGTATTCAAAGACCACAATCAATTTCATCTTAAGAGCAAACTTTGCGCATATTTCCGCGGGCTGGCCCGAAACTCCCAGAACTGTGCAAGCCCCCCTTCCACTTCCACCAATGAGGAGCCTGGGAAGCCTCTGTTTGGAGCCAACTCCCCCCTAGTGCTAAAGCCGGAGTTCGGACAAGCACTCTCAGTAGCTACTGGCATCCGCTCTCCCCACTCTCCGGCCCCGCTCGCTCTCCGCGCCTCTAGCGCCCACTTCCAGAGAATCTGTACCACAAAAGTAGAAGGAAAAGACATGCAAAGAAGAAAGGAGGATAAAAGAACACGAGCTGCACGGATTGCACCTACTCACTTAGGAGTTTTCCGCGTCTCTCTTCATTCATTCAACTCTGCCGAAGTGCAATTACCTCTGGGAGCCCGGGTGGCGGGGTCGGGGAGGGGCGGGCGAGCCGAGCAAAGGGAGCTGAGACGACGCGAGGAGAAAGGGAGCAGGGCTAGGCGGCCAGCTGAGCAGGCGTGCGGGGACCGAGGAGAAGAGCGCGAGCCGCCGGGCGGACTGGCCCTGGCCGCCAATGTGCCTTTGTTTATGTGGCTCGCGCTGCCGCTGCCAACATTCACCTAAAATCTCCGCGCGTCAGCGCGCGTCAGCAGCTCGTCGCCCAATCGCCGTGCGGTCGCGCTCCCCGGACTCCTGGCCTGCGCTTGCTTTGGTATATTTCCGACCTGACGTCACGAGCAGGGCCGATTTTAAGGTGGGAACCGTTCTGGGTTCACGTTGGTAGCTGGCTTGGTTTATTTATTTTTTCTGAAAGAGGTGTGACCTCTCCACCCAAGCCCGCGCAGCTCGCAGCGCCTCGACACCTCGCCACCTCCTAAGCCCCCGCGTCCTCGCAGCTGCAGGGCCGCTTACATGCGAGGAGGATGCAAAAAAAAAAAAAAAAAAGCTAGGCGGAAGGGAGTGCTAGCGTGGGGCAGGTAGCCAGCACCTGAAGCACCAAGAGATAGGGTGTGCCGTGTAGCGCCCTAAACACCCACCCACACTCCTCACCCTCCTTAACGGAAGCGCGTACAGATGTCCCATGACATGAGATGCTCAAAGGGCTCTGGCAGTTGGGGAGGGATTTCCCTGGCTCGGTGCTTTCTCTCTCTCTCTCTCTCTCTCTCTCTCACACACACACACACACACACACACACACACGCACACGCACACACACACACACACAAACACACGCAGTCCGCGATGGAGAGGGGTGAGAACAGGGGCTATTTTTCTGTGTTGCCTTATTTGCCTGCAATGTCCTCATACAAGCGAGGACTTAGTGTGTGGAGGGGGTGAGCGTGGAAGGGGTGAGCGTGGAAGGTGAGCCCTACAAGAACCCCAAAATCAGAGTGAGGCGTCGACCGATTTCCCTTCTCAGACAACGCAGCCGAGCAGCAGGCAACAGGTGCGCCTTCTGCAGAAAGGTGCTCTGATCCCACCTTCTGCCAACTGTAATACTTTCGACACACCCCGGTGCCTACCATCTCGTAACCCTTACACGAGTTTTAGGGAAATAAATTGACTTTCCCCTGTAACACAAGGGTTCTCACGCGTCAACCTGAGGGCCAACGGAGAAAGGCAGGACGGTGTGTGGGGGGAAGTGGGGGGGGGGAGCGGGCTCCTTGAAGCGTATGGTGTGTGCGCTCAGCCCTCCCTGGAGAGGGACGCGGGAGGGCGGTGGGAGCGGACCCTCACGGCCGGCGGAGTAGAGGCCGACTCTGCTTTGCAAGTCAATCCGCCCGCAACAACGCTGACAGCGCAAGGCACTGTCTAGTAAAGGAAACACCGCGTCTTCGGAAGGCAAGCCCCCATCCAGGTACCCCGGCCGGCCTGAGCTGGGAGGGCCTCCTAGGGCTTCTGCCTTGGGCCTGGAAGAGACTGGGACTAGGGGAGAGAGAGCTCGGAGACGCACCCCCATCCCCCGCCCCGCGCCCGCGGAGAACGTTCCAGCAGCCCCTCCTCCCTCGGCGTGGCTTGTTTCCAGGCTGCTGGGGGCCCCTCTGCCACTTGCCCCCTCCGGGTGTTCTCAGTGTGGACCGAACGCGCCGTGGAACTATCCGGGTTCCTGGGCTGCTCAACCCTAATCTGCACTCCCGCCTTCGCAAGCTCTCCGCCGCCCCCTGAGAGGCGCCACCATCAGGTGTCTGCGGCTGCCCGGGGAAGCCGCGGGCTTTTTTGCGCCGCAGCCTCGGGGAAACCTACGTGACCCCTTAAGTTTTCCCCAGATGTTGCGGCAGCCGCTACTACCGTGGCAACCGCTGCAGCTCAGAGGTGCCCTAGGGGGCGCGAGAAAAAAACCAGGAAGAGTGTGTGTGTGTGCGCGTGTGTGTTTGTGTGTGTGTGTGTTTGTGTGTGTGTGTGAAGATATGTGAGAGCGAAGAATAGCATTAGCATGAGCGCCGGAGCGTCAGCGCCCCGTGGGCTGAAGCGATTGCCCGCGAACCAAAGGGAAAAAGTGAGAGTTTGGAGAGCTGGGGAGAAGGAAGGGGGTGGGGTGGCGGTGACGCAGGGGCGCAGGCATTGACGCACCGGCCCGGCGGGGCCCAAAAATAGCTGTAGCTCCAGCGTCGCTGGCGCCCTCCCAGGTTCCCTTCCCCTTCCGCTAGGGAGCAAGGCGCGGTCTGAGGGGGAGCCTTCCTTGATCCCCGCGGTGGGCCGGGCTCCAGGAAGCTATTTCAGACAGTCGGAAACTCAAGCGTGGCCACGCTAGGGTGGCAAATTATTTTTTTAATCTAGTCCTAGGAAAGCGGGGACCGAGAGAACTTTAAAGTTGTAACCACCACTCTTCACATACACACTAATACGCACATCTAAGTAGATACATTCCCTCCTTCACCTCTCCCTCCCTCTCTGCGATTAAAAATCACCCAGATTTATGCAGGGTTTAGTCTGGGGACAACCTAAGAATTCCCTCCCAGGGAATGCAAAAGTGTCCTAAAGTTCTTAAAGTGAGCATCCAAAGAAGCCAAACAGTGTAGTGTGATTCTATATTCTTTAACAGCAACCTGTCGAGTCTGGCTTCTTCGTTGCAAAGCCTTTGCCCAAATGTAACGCACTCAAGATCAACAAAAAGTTTTCACTGAAGCTTATTGTCATTATTAACTGGGAATGGGGTGATTAAATATAACATTAAAATGAGAAAAAAAGGGGACTCTTTTGTCTTATGTTCTACAATCCTTTTCAAATTCCTATTCTGATTCCTGGGAAGCGTTACTTCTTGGAAGAAGTATGCAAGACTTAAATCAATTTTTGGATAAACTACTCCTTGGCTTGGCATTTTTTGGTAGGGTTCGGATGTGCTGTGGGTGAAAAGGATCGAGCACAGGGATCAAAAAGCGTAAAGAAAGGTCATACGTAAAAGTCCAGGGTCCCGTTTCCCCATCAGGTTCTGATGGGTTAAAATCCCAGAAAGAACCGCCAGTATCTGTAATTGACTGATCCTGTCAGTAGGGGGCCTGACTCCACAACGTTCAAGAGAATCTCTCTCTCTCTCTCTCTCTCTCTCTCACACACACACACACACACACACACACACACACACACACACACACACACACACACACCCTCACACACAACTATCTACTTTACTACTTAGACCAACCCTGAGAAGAGAATACTGCAGGCCCAAAGAGTCATATTGTGTTGGAATTAATAAATAACTAGAAATCTTTGATTCTGTTCTATTTTTCTCAAAAAGAGACACAGTTTTAACACAATCTTTTTTTTTTTTTTTCTTTTTAAAATTTCCTCCTGCCCATTTTTAATTCACTGTTAGGTCACAGGGAAAAAAAAAAAATCAAACTGGTAATAAAATCTCTCATTTTATTACCAAACAGTTCAAATTGGCATACAGTTTGGAAAAATGAAAGCATGTTTTAAAATCCTATGATTACATGTTTAAATAAATTATAGTTTAGAAGAGAATTCCTGTGGGTGTACTTGCTAGTACATAAGAGAATGCGTTTGTGCATAGAGAGGTTTAATTACACATATAATGGAATCAAAATGTAGAATTGAACAACGTTTTAGAAAATGTTAAAATGATGCTTTAGGCTAAAAGAAACTGAAATTCTGCATTTATATGACTGCAATCCTTCAAGATTCTTGAACATGAATAGTTCAAATAAAACATTTATTACTCAATTAAAATGACAATAGTGTTTTTTTCAAGGCCCAACATCTAATATAACTTCAAATTATTGCTATGTATAAATATAGTTATCCCAAAATGAAGATTTCTTTTCTTAATAATTTAAAATAAATGGGAGTAAAAATTGATGCTTTCTATACATAGCTCCATCTTTTGAAACCAACTAAAATAAAACAGAGAATTATTACTATTGATACATTATTATTAGATGATCTCTGAAAAGTATTTAGGAAGGTAATGTTATTATATTATCTTTTATGATACTAGCCAATATTAAGCAAGACATATGGGCACATGTAAAACGTTTTTTTAAAAAATCAAGATAAGTAATACATACATTTACATCTCAACCAAAGATTTTATTTTATGCATAGCTAAG